TTTTACCTTGATTTATGAAAATCTGGCTCCAGATGTGTGATTAATGAAGGTGAGATCAACCAGCAATCCTTATGATGCCAAATTTTACTGAAATCGGTGGATTTCAAAAAAGTACACCCGCCATATTGGATCAGCCATCTTGAATTATTACAATGTGAATTCATATTCCCAAAAAACCCTTTTATTCAAAATCTGGTCAAAATCCGCTCAGAATTTGAAAATAGCGATTCCTGCTCGGTTTTTTGAGGTTAGAAAAAAACACACATTCTAGCTCAATTCTGACAGCGGATTTGAATTCAGCAGAGTCTTTTGCATAAGAATGTACTATTTGATGAGGAAATAAATTTTTTTCCAAATTTTCCGAGTAAATTTTCATCAATTTTCACTATTTTTCACAAGTTTTTTGAGGTTAGGAAAAAATTGTGACGTGATGGGCCAATTCTGAAACCAGATTCGTGTTCAGGAGGCCAAATTACTACGAAAAATATATGTCGCATAAAAAGTATACCCAACTTTTTTTTTCTGTGTGGCTGTGTTATCCTCCATTAAAATGACTTATTTGTTCAAAAAACTTAGGTATATGTACATTTTATTTTATAAACTATTGTAACTATTTTATAAAAAATGGTAACTGTAAAATGAATTTTTGCTTATGTTTTTTTTTAAATTAAAATTTGCAATCTTGTTTTGACAAACAATTTACAACTAATTAAACCAATTTTAAACCAATTTTAATAATATTTTGAATCCACCGCGGGTTCTCTCTATTTCTTTTCTCAAGGAATCCAACGTGGTAACCCTTTTTTAAAAAAGGAAAGAAACGGCTATTTGACATATTAAAAAAATATATAAAATTTCAAGAGGCATTTAATATACTTATAATCGCGTCACCTAGGCAAGTAACAACTGATCTCAATAAATTTAAATCTATAGAAGAATTCGTTTGTCGAATGTATTCCTTAAAAACGAAAGATGACGTCAACAAAGGAAGATTGGAAATTTTCGAAAAAAAAATAAAACAAAAAATCAAAACGAGGTTTTATCGAAAAAAAATCTGAAGAGTTTCGATGCTTCCGGTCTACCTCCAATGAAACAAATGCTTTATCAACAAGTAAGAAGAACTATATATATAAGCAGCATTTGGTGTAACACCCATTTGCGATCACCAACTGAATGGCATCCAAAAGATTGCGGTTGGACCATAATAGATAATAAATACGCACATTACTGGTTTGATGGCCCCGAAAGCCCTTCAATTGGAGAATTATCCTTTGGTACGTATTTTTACATCATAAACTGAACCTTATGTATGTATGTATTTACTTATGTAAATTTTATTTCAATTTTTTATTTAGATTCCGATGTAATTAATGCAAATTCTGGGGAAGCTGAAGAGAGCGAAGAAAGCTCAATGAGCGAGAGCGATGAGAGCACTGCCGACGAAGAGGACAAAGAAGATGATTAAACTATTATTATATCATATATACTATAATTTTTTTCGTAAAAAATAAGAATTTTTTAATTTTTTTTCAATAAACGAAAAAGTCATTCTGAAATAAGCACGTCCAATTTTTATAAGGATTGATCATATAAGAAATTAATTAATCAATAATTTTATAACAAATTAATTATCAATTTTTAATATTTACTATTCGGTTTTAACAATATTATTCTGCATTATCCACTTAATAAGGTACAATTGAAATGCAGCAATTTTAGTTGTGTTAATTAATTTTCTAAATGTTCAGATAATGCATATATACAATTTTTTTGTAATTGTATAAAAAAATGAATTTAAATTAGTCATATTTATTTTGAAGCTTGAGAAATTTAAACAAATTTTTTTTTAATCATATTTTTTTCATTAAATATAATTTTTCTTCTACATCATGTGTAAGTATTGAAACCGCAAAATTTTATCGTTTAATTTTGTCGGACAAGCAAAAAAAACGATAATTTTGTCGGACAATTCAATTCTCAAATTAATATTACATTTTTTAAATAATGACGCTTTTGTCTGACAGCTGGTTATAACCAACCATGTTGTCGTTAAATCGACATCTACGGGGCGTCGGACTGCAAAAACTTCTCAACAATTTTGTCGGACAATAAGATACTTTCATTTGAAATCTTATTAGCAAACCCTCCCAGAAAAATCAGCTTGCTGGTTGGCACCAACCATAATATCACCAAATCGACATATTTGGGATGGGGGACAATCTCAAAATGCCAAAATATTTGTCGGACAAATTTTTTGGAGGGTTTAAAAAATATATATCTCATTTAAACTTAAAAAAAAGTGCTGGTCATAACATTTTATGTTTATGCCAGATTGACATGTTTTCCTGAAAATCACGGGAAAACTTACCACTGTTGAATTTTTCTCGTAGTCAAATCTTAGGAGACTCGCACACTTAAGCTGCACGCAAAGTTACAGCTTGCTGGTAATCATTTTTTTTTTACGTGGGCCCGTGAAGTATAGTATCTTATGCAGTATTTCAAGAGAATTGCAATTATCGAAAAAAAAATATGTTTCTATTGACATTAATCTTTATAGTATTGGATTTTTAAAATTTAGTCGTCGTTTAGTTTTTTCTATAGGATCAAAATCATTAATAATTGTTTAACAAAATATTAATGAATACATACAGTAAAGAATCATTATAATCAAAATTAACATTTTACAGCAGCGTATTGTAAATAGTCAAAATAATTTATTTACAATCTGTATACGTTTAAACCCTATTCTAAATTCTTGCTTTTTACTAAATTTTTATCTACCAATATAATTTATCCCGCCATATTCCTACGAAGCCATAGACGTGAATCGCCGACGGTGTGCTGATAGTGAAGGGAAACCGCTTCAGGTTTCGAAATTTAGAAACGAAAAAGTTTTCCAAATATACTGAAATTCGAATTTAGACAGGGGGAGATAAAAATCACATCGGACAGCCGCCCAGATACCAGTATGAGATGCAAAGACTGAAAATTTAAGGTGAAGATCGCTACAGTTCCTCTGCAGAACTATCATAGGAGGTGTTCGAACATCTACTCTAGTACTTTACAACCAGAGACGGATATCTGGCCAGTATATGTTGTAAGCTACTAAGAGTGACCGCAAAAACAGCATATTTTTAGCCTATTTTCTCACCCTTGCCAGAGACCTTAAAAAAAATCCTAAAAATATTCTGCATATGTCAAATTATTGATAATGAAAAATCAAGACGAGCATATTTTTTAGTTTTTCGAAAAATGTCGAATATCACCCCTAATTAGGGGTTGATATGATGACGCAAAACTGAAATGTATGAATAATATCAATAAGAATAAAAGCAATTCTTATTGTATTTTTTCTATAAAATAAAATCTTACAAATAGGAAATAATTAATTTTCATGATTAATGAGGGCGTGATATAGTTGTAAGTCCACACTTAAATTCGCTAAGGGGCTTAAATCATCCCCTAAATACGGAAAAAATAAAAAATTACTTGAAAAATCAAGATTTTTCACATATCGAAACATTGTAAAATATTTTTTCCAGCGCATTGCTGAAAGTTCAGAACTTAAATCTAACTTACAATGTGACCAGAAGTTTCTGAGCCCGGGATACACCAAGCTCTAAGTAATTCGAATCCGCTCAGGACTTTCTACGCCTGCAGCGAATTCTAAAAGATAAAAAAAACTCTAAGTAACTTCCCAAACTAGGTACTCTAAAGAGATCTAAAAAATGCTTGCAAGGCAAAATCTACAGAGATAGTGATAAAGACACTCATTCTCGAAGTGCCCAAAAACATTCTAGTCGAAAAGTTGCAATAAAAACGCCAGTTGTCCTCAAAATAGAGGCTGGAAATAGTAAAACTTTGACTTTCCAAAACTAAAAAGTTCCCATTAGAAGCTGGATTTTACCAACATTCCCGTTGAGAAAAATACATTAAAAATCAATATACAAATTTTTAGATTTTACATTTTAGATTTCATTTCTCGAATTAGTTCGATTAAAACAAATTATAATAAAAATATAAAACAGTTTGTGGACAATCAGGAAAAGCATATTTACGAAATATATATCTTACCGTGTATTCCAAAAATGTGACTTGCATTTTTTTCTTGGGATGAAGCTTTCAACCAGTTGGTATATAATAAAGAGGGTGCAGTCTGATGGTGAAAGGACATTAGCGCAGCTTCTGAAGTACTGTTGTTTGGTGATATTTTCGTTGCAGGTACATAATGAAGTAGTCCTGGATCGGGTGGAACAGAACTTGACTGTCTGTATTGGTGAAGTTGTATTGAAGGACAAAGAATTCCTATAAACATACATATCATAACTAACTGAGTAAATAAGGGAATAAATAAGTAAATATATCCAGGGTGGTCCATTAATTTGGTGTTATTTCTTTGAGGTATAAAAAATGGTCATATAAACCTTAGCCATATTTTAAAAGAATTATACTTGAATACACGATGTATGAAAACGTGATAGTCAAAAATTTAGTTTTGCTTTTATGAAATATTTTATATATTTGTACAGACATGACTTGGATGTAAAATTCTGCGTATGGTAGTGCAAATATTATGTTAGCATTTTATATGTGTGTGTATATGTTATATAAGTGTGTATATTGTATATTGTATACTGTGTGTGTACATCTATATTTGTATTTTTGTGTGGGCCACTGTTGTCCATCATATTGACCATTGCTATACATTCATGTAATGTCATATAAGCAAAATAAACTAAATAAATAAATAAAAAAATAGTTTTATATTTGACTGCGACACTACCAAATTAATTAAAAAGTTCCTTAAATTATGCGGAAAGCATGATTTGTTAAAATTTATATTGTGGTAATAGTTAGAACGACATTACAAAATGCAAAAGTTTACCAACGACTCAAAGTTTCTGAGCCATTAATTTTATTATATACAAGGTATTTTTTGCGCATGGCATTTTATTCTATTCAATTCTATTTATAAAATAGTTTCGATGTTTATTTTCTATACACCATGTAACAGTTACGAATGAAAAACTTAAAATACATTTCAAGACAAATTAATATAAAACTATGAATACTTTCAAAGAAATATTTTGTATTTTGGTTGTTCTAACATTACTCTTGACAAAGATCAACAGGTAAAAATGGCTACTAAAGAAAAATCTTACTATTTTCATATCTTACTTAAGATAGTCTCCATGTAAATGGTGTTAATAGATATTAAAGGAACAAATATTTTAAACGCGAAACACAAAACTTTATATATATATTTTTGTTCTGTTAATATTTATTAATACTATTCGCAAGAATAAACAATCCTAAGTAAACAGTAGGTATTATGCAGTAAACTGCATTTATCTAAACGTATCTTCTTTACAAATTGTCAGTTTACATTAAAGCGGTAAAAGTTATGCAAAAAAGTCAAGAGATCATTTTCTTTCAAAATAAAATTTGTGTTTCAAAAGTGATGGCCTCATGTTTGAGGAAAATGTACTTAGCATATCTCATATCTACAACACTGATTTGAATTTTTTTCTGTATGTCAAAAACGGTGGAACAAGTTTATACCGCGAAGTGCGATTTTGTGCTCCTGAATATCCATGGTTAAAATTTAGGATATTCTGTATAACAATTTGTTGCTTTATTTTTCTCAGTTTTTGTAATTTGTTGTTATTGTTAGGGTCAGAACACGAAGTCAACCGAAAATTCTGACTTTTAGAAGGTCAAAGTACTATGGCATACACTGGCGTGATTCACGATCCAGTCCATGTGTAATTAGCAGAGAGCGGACAATTTGTGTCTTTAACCTTGAACATAGATATGTCATTCATAAACCTAGATGCATTATCCATGACGCAGTGGCGTGTCGGGTATGCATCGGAAATTTACGTAATAATTCACGAAAATTCCAGGGTACATACATTTTTAGGCGTTATAAAATATTTAGAAAATCAGAAATTGTATACTACATATTTATTAAATAAAGTTCGGTTAAAAGTAGTGTCGTTCTTTTCAATGTAATGAATTTCCTCAGGCGACGCACATGATAGAATAGTACAACTCACGCTCCATTCATAACAGGGCTGCAGTTTAAATTCTGACCAATAGGAATTCGATAAACGCAACCGATCTCGACGGATGGACTAGAGATGGGCGCGAGTCTCATTTCATTTCTTTAAAACTAAATTAACTTAATTATTTTCTCGTTATTTAACCTGTTCACATGATTTATGGATTTTAAATAAAGGGTACAAATCTTCGGGAGGATAATACGATATATTTGCTATACATAATAATTATATTTTGCATAGTTTATACACAATACATTTTTGAACGCGTACGCATCTCTACCAAAATTTGACCTATTCTTCGGGTTAAAGACACACATTGTCATTGTAGCAAGTATTAAAATAAATTTTCATGCCTCACTTTAGCTGATTGTCATTGTGAGATTTCTCATTATATTGAAAAAAACAAATGTATGGTTTATTTTTAATAGATATTTGATTTTCATATCTTGAAAACATTAAATTAGGAATTGTACCACCTTTCCTATCTACTTTCAATAACCAAAGGGAATAAAGTAAATAAAGAAGTATTTTGTACCTACTTATTTCCTAACTTTGAGAAAATTAAAGTATATTTTAATAAGTTAATATTTATAATGAAAAAAATTACTAACCACTTTTGATTTTGTCAAGGTTTACTCATAAATGCAAAATATTTGTATTCATGCATATTTATTTAAATGAAAAAGAAATGATGTCACATTTTCTGTCTTTTGAAACGAAACGAACTTATTTCCTAACTTTGGCAGAATTAAAATGAATTTAATTTTTTTAGTTGATTAGTACTTATAATCAAATGAATTAACTAACAGCTAATTTTGATTTTGTCGCTTGACTTAGTTAATAAGAGTGCACCATATTTTGAATGCATATTCAATTAAAAAAAAAGAAGTCTAAAAGAAAAACATTTTATTAAACATATTGTACAATACATACATTTAAATACATGTTCCTTACATTGCGATATTGGCATAAAAACAAAGAACCCCGCAATGTCTTTATGAAAATGTAGGCTCGGTCAAATTGGCTGAAATTGTGGTGTTTTTGGTTTTGTTTTACTGACCAAAAGTCTTCACAGTACTTGAGTCCGAAAATCAATTATTTAATATTTATAGCGGTCTGAATCACTTCTGCTGATGATGGCTGCAAAGTAATATGAGTAGAATATCGCAATAAAAACTGTAACTTTTGTGAAATGTGACAAATACCAAACTGGTCCAAAAATGTGGAAGAGTAAACAATCTCATATTAAAACCTAGGTCACTCTGGTCCTGAAAGTAGCACCATATATTTTTCGAACTATAAGATTAATTCTTGCGTTATTCAAGTCAATTATTGATACTGAGATATACTATTGCATTTAACAGAACGATGTACAAATGTAACTATACTGTGCGGCAAGTCCAAACTTTGTCTGCAGTTTTTTAGATGTTGAAATTGGGTTTTGATCCTCTTTGGTAATCTGTGTTGTATTTCTTAGTACACAGTTTTCTAACATCTTAGTGCTGGGATATTTGCGGCAATTTGTACTGATGTAATTGCCAAAGACTTCCTTTATAATCTTCCTCTCTGGAGATCCCTATCCTCTCACCACACAGGAGGTCCTATTCAAACAAACTGTTAATAATAATTTACATAAGTAATAAAGTATAAGGAATATAGATATTGCATATTTCATTTAAAATGTTGCGAGTGTAAGTAATGTGATATCTGAATATATCAATAGCAGGAAAACCCGGAATTATCAGGAAATTTTGTAGATCTGAGGATGCTGAATATACCAGGAAATTTTTCTAATTTTACATGAAATTTTTTAAATTCTAATTGTAATCAGGTATTAAATTAATTTAAATAAACTATTAGAAATTACCCAAAAATTCCATGTTCCTCAAAATAACGAGCGTTCAAATAAAAACGTGGTCGAAGTTGGCTCTGACACATTGGACGTAGGGAGTAGCTTATAGCGACCAACTTAACCTCATTTCAGTTTCAATAACGTTAATGACTATATAACTTTATTTTAAAGAATAATCGTGATAACAATAACAAACAATTAAAGGAGCTGCGGAAAGTGAAATGAAACCAGGCTTCATCAGAAAAAAAGGTGATATTATGAAGTTCACCGTAGTTGTTTAAAAACCATTCACAAAATACAGCCCGTCGCGGAAAATCAACTTCATGAAGTTCTTGCTGACAAGTTAAACGATAGGAGAACAAACGCAAATCTTTTTCTAACACTGTGTGGCAGGTACCGACTGATACTCCCACCATTTGTGATAGAACACGTACAGAAGTTCTTGGCGCATTTTCCATTATTTGTTGGACATTTTCTTTTAATTCTTCAGTCCGCTTTTTAGGTCGGCCGCTTCCTTCTTTTCTTGTTACACTGCCCGTTTCACGAAAAACGTTAACACAACGCTGAACTGCACTTTGAAAAATTTTCTACTGAACAACGCCGGGAAATTGATTTTAAAATTCTATGAAACATTCCTCAATAGAATACTTCCATATTCCATCAATCTTGCGTCCATTTCTAAAGTAGGACTCTATGATAAACACTTTTTGTTCTTGAGAAAACACCATTTTAAACGCTTTTTAAAACGAAAATATTCAAATTGATAGCGGCGATATAGCGCTTTGACGTTTAAGTTCATTTGCTATACGCTACGCCCTACGTCCAAAATTTCAGAACCAACTTGACCACGTTTTTATTTCAACGCTCGTTATATAATTTTATAAATAATCATACTTTGTAAAGAATGGAAACTAATTTTTCTTCTTTAGAATAGAAGATTTTCGTATTCTGAAAATTTTTTTAAATCCACATATCAATATCAATTTTGTCAAAATTTGACTCGTTCATTAAAATCCGATTGTCCATGACCACTAATGAAATCTCTCGCAGACGCTTTTGTGTTGTGTTTACGTTGGTAATGTTCCAGGGTGAGTGACAATCTTATTTGATTATAAGAAAATCTATTTAGCAACTTACGTTTGTTTTTAGTAATTTCATTCTGAATCCATAAGCGAATTTGTTGTGGACTGTCATCTTTTAACACCTTATGTATGGCGGACGAAGCATAGATTTTTCCAATGAATTCTCCAAATATTGCAAATAGTTTAGTGAAGTAAATCTCTGGAGGACCAAAATGTTCTCTTAACACATCCCTTATCTGAAAATTGACTCTTATAAACACAAAATAACGAGACATTATTTCAAATACAAAAAAATATTATTTAAGT